CCTGTGGCTCTGGAGCCACATGCGGCTCTTTGGTTCCTCTGCAGTGGCTCTTTCAAGGTTTGACCAAAACAAACAACATTCCAATTTTAACAGTTTCATATAATTTATTTAGCAAATTTGTGAATACTAGTACTAACACAAGGAGTTAAACATATTTTAACTTTATGCTTTATTTCTTTAAAGTAAGCTACTTAATTTTTCCACAATAAAAAAAAACAACAAAAAAACACTAGACCTGCATAGTTCATTGTTTAAGTTTCCATACTTTCATCTATCCATCCATTATCTTTTACCTGTTTCTTCCTTTTTGGGTCACGGGGCTCACTAGTTCCCAAATTCAGCTATCACTGTGTGGCAGGGCTTAATTTGAGCCGGATCCTGCCAAAACAGGATCTGGGAACGCTCTTATTTTGACAGGGAGCGTTCCGGTAACTGCTTCGATCTGGTAACTCTCAGTCTTACTAATAATAAAATTATGAACAAATTTGACTGCCTTGAATGAATAAAACTTACATTGGATATGTAAACTGCAATTTGTGTCACCATTGTTTAATTTCTTTTTTTTTGTTGGTAAAAACTATGAAAATAAATCTTTCTTTAAAATAATCCTGTCTTTTCCTTCGTCTTAAAATGTAAAAATATCAATGTATGTTTAAAATCATTAGATTTTTTTGTTTTATGTCACTCCTACTAGAGGATGCTGAAAAGCCTCCTGCAACAACCTAAAGTGGTCCACAGACCACCACTAGATGATCATAGTTGGGGTAAGTTTTGTGGCTCTGGACATTTAAATTTAGTGAGCGAAGGGGCAGAAATGGCTCTTTGGATTGTAAAGGTTGCAGACCCCTGATCTAGATGATAGACCCTCACGTTACATCATGGTTTGGCATCTGTGGGGGAAAGCTTTGCATACTTGCGAGTCAGTTTTTTCTTTCTCTCTCACTGGATAACCATTAATGGATTTTATAAAGCGTGTGAACACACCAAGTGTCCAAGGATGTGGTCTTGATCATTCTGTTATAGAATGTTGCGAGGTTGATGGACGATGCCGTCATGCTGCAGGGGTCTTACACAGACATGCTGCGATAGAGAGGAGAGCAGGTGACAGAGCTGACATGAAAGGGATATCCTGAGCATCATGTTTAATGTTTTACATATCTTAGGCACCTTTTTAGGAAGCAGGAATGTCTTACTGGGAAACCACGGACCAGAACATCAGTGAACACAGATAACAAGTTATGTTTAATCCACACTTAAAGTCTTGATCCCCTGCTCCCATTTGCAATTCAAGAAATCAACTGTTTTATAATGATCATAACTGATATTTACCTTTATGAATGCTGGCCAGTTTAATGGTATGGTT